TTGACACGGTTAAATAGTTAACTGTTTTTGTACATTGCTCAAAAGTCTGACGACGAGCTGGGGAACCAGACTCGAAAATTTACTCATTAAAGTTTATTCCCTTCCCAAAGAATCTTACTTATTTTCAAATATATATATATATGTAGCTCAGAGGGGGTATGCATTCCGAGTTGATATAATGAAAAAATAGAAGAGGTTCTTCGGAAAAGTCGAGTCGTACTCGTGAATTTTCGAACTGGTGACACCAACCCGTCGTCAGACGAAATGAAAACGAGGGAGAAAGTTATGTTGTCACAGAAGACCAGTTGGTGTGATAGGACAGAACAGACCACTGACGTGTGAGGGGGGGGAGGGTGGGTGGGCTCCCGAGGTCATGGTAGGTCCCTGAGTGAAGGGCGGCGAAGGGAGGGGAGGCGGAATAATTACGGCACACCCTGCTGGAGGGGGAGGGTGGGTGGTGGATCAGTTGGGATGCGGGTGGCTGTAGTCGCGGTCGTTGATGCGTGAATTAGGGCAGGGGGCAGTCATTTGTGAACGTAGACCCTCGTACTGGGCGTCTAAGTAAATGTGACGGTTGATACTACCCGCGCAGCACTATGTAGAGTGAAGGATCCCATCCCGAAAGAGCAACAAACGAATGTAATTTATCGCATTCCGTGTGCTAATTGCTCTTGCGTGTATGTTGCCCATACAGGTCGATGCCTGGGCACCCGTATCAACGAACACAAACTAGCTATCCGTCGGCGAGACCCCCTGTCCCTCGTTTTTGCCCATGCACTCGAGTACAACCACCGATTCAATTGGGATGGCACTGAGGTCGCCGCCATGGCTAACACAAAGCGAGCGACGGAATTTCTCGAGGCTTGGTACTCCAATGCGGGTAGTATCAACCGTCACATTGACTTAGACGCCCAGTACGAGGGTCTACGTTCACAAATGACTGCCCCCTGTCCTAATTCACGCATCAACGACCGCGACTACAGCCACCCGCATCCCAACTGATCCACCACCCACCCTTCCCCTACAGCAGGGTGTGTCGTAATTATTCCGCCTCCCCTCCCTTCGCCGCCCTTCACTCAGGGACCTACCATGACCTCGGGAGCCCACCCACCCTCCCCCCCCTCACACGTCAGTGGTCTGTTCTGTCCTATCACACCAACTGGTCTACTGTGACAACATAACTTTCTCCCTCGTTTTCATTTCGTCTGACGACGGGTTGGTGTCACCAGTTCGAAAATTCACGAGTACGACTCGACTTTTCCGAAGAACCTCTTCTATTTTTTCACTTATATATATATATATATATATATATATATATTATGACAGTGGGCGCTCGCCGATCAGGTTACGGAACATGCTCGTTCCGTTGTGCCTTGGGGCTCATACTTAAACCCTCGCAGGCAGTCGCACAGCGACTAGTAGTAGACATAGATGAGATGATACCGACAAAGACAAGGGAGACCGGAATGGCCATTTCTGGCTTATTAGCCGTCATCAGCCAGTCATACCCAACCCCAAGTGTGGATCACTTGAGATACGGAACGAGCATGTTCCGTAACCTGATCGGCGAGCGCCCACTGTCATAATTAATATTCCCGATCACAACCGACAGGACAACGGGCCCGTGGCTCAATGGTAGAGCGTTCAACTCCATGACCAAAGATCCCGGGTTCGAATCTCAAGTGATCCACACTTGGGGTTGGGTATGACTGGCTGATGACGGCTAATAAGCCAGAAATGGCCATTCCGGTCTCCCTTGTCTTTGTCGGTATCATCTCATCTATGTCTACTACTAGTCGCTGTGCGACTGCCTGCGAGGGTTTAAGTATGAGCCCCAAGGCACAACGGAACGAGCATGTTCCGTAACCTGATCGGCGAGCGCCCACTGTCATAATTAATATTCCCGATCACAACCGACAGGACAACGGGCCCGTGGCTCAATGGTAGAGCGTTCAACTCCATGACCAAAGATCCCGGGTTCGAATCTCAAGTGATCCACACTTGGGGTTGGGTATGACTGGCTGATGACGGCTAATAAGCCAGAAATGGCCATTCCGGTCTCCCTTGTCTTTGTCGGTATCATCTCATCTATGTCTACTACTAGTCGCTGTGCGACTGCCTGCGAGGGTTTAAGTATGAGCCCCAAGGCACAACGGAACGAGCATGTTCCGTAACCTGATCGGCGAGCGCCCACTGTCATAATTAATATTCCCGATCACAACCGACAGGACAACGGGCCCGTGGCTCAATGGTAGAGCGTTCAACTCCATGACCAAAGATCCCGGGTTCGAATCTCAAGTGATCCACACTTGGGGTTGGGTATGACTGGCTGATGACGGCTAATAAGCCAGAAATGGCCATTCCGGTCTCCCTTGTCTTTGTCGGTATCATCTCATCTATGTCTACTACTAGTCGCTGTGCGACTGCCTGCGAGGGTTTAAGTATGAGCCCCAAGGCACAACGGAACGAGCATGTTCCGTAACCTGATCGGCGAGCGCCCACTGTCATAATTAATATTCCCGATCACAACCGACAGGACAACGGGCCCGTGGCTCAATGGTAGAGCGTTCAACTCCATGACCAAAGATCCCGGGTTCGAATCTCAAGTGATCCACACTTGGGGTTGGGTATGACTGGCTGATGACGGCTAATAAGCCAGAAATGGCCATTCCGGTCTCCCTTGTCTTTGTCGGTATCATCTCATCTATGTCTACTACTAGTCGCTGTGCGACTGCCTGCGAGGGTTTAAGTATGAGCCCCAAGGCACAACGGAACGAGCATGTTCCGTAACCTGATCGGCGAGCGCCCACTGTCATAATTAATATTCCCGATCACAACCGACAGGACAACGGGCCCGTGGCTCAATGGTAGAGCGTTCAACTCCATGACCAAAGATCCCGGGTTCGAATCTCAAGTGATCCACACTTGGGGTTGGGTATGACTGGCTGATGACGGCTAATAAGCCAGAAATGGCCATTCCGGTCTCCCTTGT